TCCCAGCTCGTGCCTCGCGGCCATTCTTCTCAGCGTCGGCCTTCTCCAGAGGGTGCCGTTCGGGAGGTCGGTCGTTCTCCCCCCGCTCCTGCCGCGTGGCCCCCTCTCGCGCGGCCTCTTCACTGGGCGGCTCCGTCGCACGTACCCTCGCGTGCCTCGCAGGCCAGCTCGCCCGGGGCCTCGTCGCGGAGGGGGATCTCTCCGCATGGTGGCGTTGTGGCCGCGCGTTGGCGCCTCGCGGCCACCGTCGCGGCCAGCTCGCCAACGGTTCCGCCCGGGATCTCCCCGTGGCCCCGTTCCCCAGGGCCTCCGCTAGCCTGCAGCCCCTTCGCGGGAAGGTGGACTTGCGTGTTTGCTTCTAGGAAGTAGTGGTGCTTCGTGTGTGGCGGCGCCGCGGTCACGGAAAAATGTAGCATAGGAGGTCCCCCGGACCAGTCGGTGGTTTTCTTCTGGGCTGCCTGGAGCCCCAAAGCCTCAAGTGTGCCAGCGTGACAGCTTTGGGCTCAAGCTATCGAGGCAAGCGCGGCCGCAGAGTTGTGCCAGCTTCCCGCCGAGAAATGCTGCCTGTGTCCGTAATCGTTGCCAGCACGCCGCGCGGTGGCATCGGCAAGGACGGCGCCTTGCCGTGGCGCTTACCAGAGGACATGGCTCATTTTAGGCGGGTGACCATGGCGACATCGCAGGAGGAGACAGGCGACTCCGTCAGGCAAAATGCGGTCGTCATGGGCCGGAAGACGTGGGAGTCCATCCCGCAGAAGTTCCGCCCCCTGGCCGGCCGCATCAACGTCGTGCTCACTAGCGCCGCCGGAGACGAATCCACGAAGCAGGAGTACCCGGAGGGTGTCCTCTTGGCAGCATCGATGGAGGAGGCCCTCGGGGCATTGGAGCGGAGTCATGATGTCGCGGAGGTGTTCGCCATAGGCGGGCAGAGAGTCTACGAGCAGGCCGTGGAGATGCCCAACTGCCGGCACATCTTCATGACGCGTGTCGGCAAGGACTTGGAGTGTGACGCCTTCTTCCCAGCATTCGACGAGAAACAGTTCAAGGTTGTACACCTGAGCAAGTCCGACAGCCACAATGGCCTGCCGTTTGACTTTGTAGTTTACCAGCGGCTCGGTGATCCAGAAGTGAAGTTCGGCCCCTCCGCGGCGCTCGCAGCAGCTGGCGGAGCTGGCCAGCTCCTACACGAGGAGTACCAGTACCTGGATGCTATCCGGGAGATCATCGAGAAGGGCATTCCCACGGATGATCGCACAGGCGTCGGCACTCGATCCACGTTCGGCAAGATGATGCGCTTCGACCTGCGAAAAAGCTTCCCGCTGCTGACCACCAAGAGGACGTTCTGGCGCGGCGTGCTGGAAGAGCTCCTCTGGTTCGTCAAGGGAGACACGAACGCCAAGCATCTGTCGGAAAAGGGCGTCAAAATCTGGGACGCCAACGGTTCCCGCGAGTTTCTCGACAGCCGAGGCTTGTCGCACCGCGAGGAGGGCGACCTGGGGCCGGTCTACGGTTTTCAGTGGAGGCATTTCGGCGCAAAGTACGTAGACATGCACACGGATTACACAGGGCAGGGTGTCGACCAGCTGGCCGAATGCATCAGGAAGATCAAGGAGGACCCCAATGACAGAAGGATCTTGCTCTCGGCGTGGAATCCTGCCGACCTCTCGCTCATGGCATTGCCACCCTGCCACATGTTCTGCCAATTCTACGTGGCCGCTGGCGAGCTCTCGTGCCTCATGTACCAGCGGTCCTGCGACATGGGGCTCGGGGTGCCCTTCAACATCGCCTCGTATTCGCTGCTGACCTGCATGATGGCGCAGGTGTGCGGCCTGAAGCCCGGAGAGTTCATCCACTCGCTGGGCAACGCGCACGTGTATGAGAACCACATCGAGCCGCTGAAGACGCAGTTGGAGAGGACACCACGCCCATTTCCGACGCTCGCAGTCAACCCTGACATCAAGAACATCGATGATTTTCAGGCCTCCGACTTCGAGATCATTGGCTATAATCCGCACGGCAAAATCGCCATGGATATGGCCGTGTGAAAGGTGAAGCAATTTGCCTGTTTACGGGTTGTCGCATCGGCAGCATTGCGGGGGACACGCAATGATGCAGCAACGTTGGCTTCCACCACGCACGAAAACGAATGTGTCAGGTTTGACCGGGTCTTGTACCACTCCCCGATGCCATTCTTGGCCAACGTACGGGGAGGAGGAGGAGTGCGTCCAAGCTGGCAGGCCAGCCCTCCCAGCAAGTAACCTTTCTAACCGCATTGGTGCACCGCGGGCGCTCACGAAGGGTGTGATCCAGCTGGACCGTCGCCACACGAGAGGAGAGATTTTGAGCAATCGAGACCACATGTTTCGTCTTCGAGCGCCACTGTGGGCAGGCATCCAGTGGCGAGTAGGTGGCGCTTATTCTGGCCAGGGTTTCGAGGCGGACCCAGCCGTGGCGGCGAGGATCCCCCTGAAGGCCCAGAGGAGGAGCATGAGGAGGAAGAAGAGGAGGAGGAGGAGGAGGAGGAAGAGGAAGAGGAAGAGGAAGACGACCCCCTCCTCCCCCCTCCCCCCCTCACGAGGTGGGCGCGAGAGCTCCAGACTCAATCATGGGGTCCGATCTTTCACCCTGAGGAGTGTTGCTGATGGCCCTGGTGCCAGAAGCGGGCCTCCAGAGGCAACAACATGTGAAAAGCATGCCGCCGTGATTTTTGCTCGGCGCCCAGGGGCCCCGGCCCATCCCCCGTCGTCAGTTTTGGTGTTGGCCCGGACCCTGAACCCAGGAAGTCCCCAGAGGCCTCTGGACTTTGGAGGCCTCTGGAGGCAAACAAGAAGAACCTGCAACATCCTACATCCCCAGGCGTCGCCGGCGGCAATATCTAGCACACTTCGCGGGAGCCTCGAGACGGGGGTCAATGCAAACGGAGGTCAGCCAGGGCACCGGATCCTGCAGGATCCTGCGAAGACCCCCTCTGGCTGACCCGGGTTAGCGAGCCGCTCGTGGCCGCGAGGCGGCCGCGCGTATTGGCTGACCCGGGTTTGCGAAGACTTGCGCTGCAGTTTTTTTTCCTGCATTGCAGTTTTTGGTTTCCTCCTGACCCGGGTCTGGATTGACCCGGGTCAGAAGATCCCCGAACTTCACTATCGCTGGACTCTTGAGGCTTCTGCAGTTCACGCCCACAACCTTTGAAGACGTCAAATATCGAACGTTGAGCGCCCAGGCCCCGCGCGCCGCCTCCTCGGCCCCGCGCGCCCGCTAGCCGCGCTTCGAAGGAGCTCGAACTCTTCCGTGGCGCTCGTTCTCTC